CCTTGGCGTCGGTCACGGAGAATTCCATTGTGGTGGAAATGTTCTTCAAAATCCATTCAGGAGAACACTGATCCCAGAGGAGAGCAACGGCGGTTCCTTTAGCTATTTGCATATTCCTACCAAGCAATATACAAGCTTTAGAACAATCCCTCACTGACCTCCGTAGCTGCAGCTACTGCGGAGCAATTCATCTTCAAAGTTCACATCAGAAGCACCGAAGGCCAGATGATTGTCTCAGCAGCTCAGCTCACCCCTACCAGCAGTAGACTCAGCAGCTCATCTCTCTGCTTCCCTTCCCTGATTTAGAATAGGGATTGGGAGGGGGGCGGGGGCACGGTGATGTCATAACAAAGGTGGAGCCATCCTTCTGGAGAAGAGGGATTTCTCTTTATATGCGTGGGGGATTAATGAATAGCTGGAAGTATTACACAGACACATGCTTGTCATCAGGGCCGTAACTGCAGATTATGGGGCCCCATGGCAAAAATATGATGCCCCCCCCTGACAACCCTCCTGTGGACAACCTCCCTCTGAGCTGTGAATAAGGATGCCAAGATCCCAAAGACATCTGAAGTCGCCTCCACACAGAGGTTTTGAGTCGTCCACTGCAACCACTCCAACCCTTAATGATACAGTATTGTATTACCTTCACCTGTTCAATTTGCCTCAACTACCTAATGGGGCCCCTTCCACCCCCCAGACCCCATAGCAGCCACCGTGGCTGCTATGGCTATAGTTAGGCCACTGTTCACCATAAAAAAAGTATATTTCATGCTAAGTCAACATCAAGGCCGTTCTAGACTGGTCACATGTGTGCGTGGTCATGTGACATCATTGCAAGGGTTGCGAAGGAACTACCATGCTAGTCGAAATTATGACTAAATTAAATCATGAATGCAGGGGCGCCCCGAGACCGGGTGTCACCCGGAGCTGAGACCGCGTGAAACCCCGCCGTGATGTCATCGCACATGCATGGTCATCTGATTGCGCTTGCCGGTGGCCATCTTAGTGATGGACGCCTGCAGAGAGAGGAGGGGACATTCCCCCGGTCGAGATGAGGTATGCCGCTGGGTCCCTTTCTCTCTCCTGACACTGTCAGGCTCTCCGACCATGACTGAGTGCCCGACTTTTTAGAGGGGGGATGACACCAAAATGACTGTGTCACCCCTCCAATGGTGTCACCCGGGTGCGGGCCGCACCCCCCTTGTGACGCCACTGCATGAATGTGATGTGTGTGGCTAGCGTCACTAATACGGGCCGATTCCCCCTCTGTCTTTGCGGAGCACAGTGCTGAAATGGTCCTTTTTCCCCAGCTCACGTGGATTCGCTGAGTGGGTCATTTCCATTCATTCGGCAGCCGGAGCGAGGTCCCCGCTCTTCCCAATCTCCATCCAGAACGTTCCGGCTTGTTCTGTCCAACGACCAGCTCAGTGTGCGAAACGGGCTATTCAGCCCCAACCTCTCCACTGACGGCTGTAGAACGGCCTTAAAGGGAAACCATCATATAATTTCTGTAAGTACTCGCTGCGTCCTCTACGTGTCACGTCCGCCTGGAAGGTTATTTTTGGCTCATTAATGTTCTTGCTGTGTCAAGTTTTCTCTGATATTTTCCGTTTGGTTGCTTTTGGATACATTGCATTTTTATGTAACTGATACAATGTATCAATTGTGGATCTGAAGGTGAACTTTTTAGGCCAGCTTTTCTCAGCCAGGGTTCCTCCAGAGGTTGCTAGGGGTTGCTTGAGCAGTGATGGATCTCCTGCCTGATGGTGCCCATAGTTCTAGCACCAACTCTGCTCTACAGGGGTAGCACTGTGGCACAGTAGATGGAACTTCTACCTTGAGTTCCCAGGTCTGTAGGAGCATTCTTCCCACTGACCACAAATGTAAGGAACATTTTTCCCAAGGACCACCACTGTAACGAGCATTCTTCCCACTGACCATCAGTGTAAGGAGCGTTTTTCCCACTGACCACCAATGTATGGGGGCATTCTTCTCACTGACCACCAATGTAAGGAGCATTCTTCTCACTGACCACCAATGTAAGGAGCATTCTTCTCACTGACCACCAATGTAAGGAGCATTCTTCTCACTGACCACCAATGTAAGGAGCATTCTTCTCACTGACCACCAATATAAGCATTATTATTCTCACTGTTCACCAATGTGTGG